ATACTTTTTGTTCACCCAAGATATTTGCCACATAACCTTCCTGTGCACGAAACAAACTCTGACGGGACATGCTCTTTGCACAACGCTTTCGTTGCTCAGGCATCCCTATTTGACATCTATAGTTGTCCCATTCTCTGCCTTGTACATGCATGTGCTACTTGTAATTTTCAAGCAAAGGCCAAAAAGCCGATAAGAAATTGAGAATAAGGAATCTGCCATGTTATCTTAATCTGGGCTTCTCTGTTTGTACCACTTTTTATTCTGCAATACTTCAGCTGTTTGCCTTGGGCTTTCAAAATCTGACTTCCACTTAGAATAAATAGTGTCCTTTGAGAACTGATGATGCCCAACTATGAAAATCCAGTGTATTGATTGCCCTTGCTGCGCTTAGCTTAGCCCAAAAAAGATTTTTCATATTTTCTGCGCAAACCTCAGCGCTTCTGATGCATACTTGCCGCAGGAAACACTCGTTCATGCACATGTTTTCGCATATCTGTGACCATGCTTTGCAAATAGTTAATCAACTTGAATCATAGTCATGAGCGGGTCCAGCGGGTCCAGCGGGTCCAGCGGGTCCAGCGGGTCCAGCGGGTCCAGCGGGCCCGCGCAGCGGGGGGTTCAGCGGGTCCAGCGCGTCCAACGGGTCCAGCGGGTCCAGCGGGTCCAGCGCGTCCAGCGGGTCCAGCGCGTCCAGCGGGTCCAGCGCGTCCAGCGGGTTCAGCGGGTCCAGCGCGTCCAGCGGGTCCAGCAGGTCCAGCGCGTCCAGCGGGTCCAGCGGGTCCAGCGCGTCCAGCAGGTCCAGCGGGTCCAGCCGTCCAGCGCATTCAGCTACAGAAGCTCGGGCGTGAGGCCAAGTCGAGCCAGGGAAATGTTCACCGTCTATTTTGCGGGCGGGTCAGCGTCTATTTTGCGAGCAAGTTGCTTCTTCCTAGAAGGACATGACCACAGGTGCTTGCAACATGGACTCCAAGTGTCCATCGTACGGGGGGGGGGGGGGGGGGGGGGGGGGGGGGATGGTAAGCACACCCGCTCAAGTGCACCCGCTCAGCACTGCATCTACGCACGCGAAAGAGGAAGCGCACCTGCTCAAGCGCACCCGCTCAGCACTGCATCCACGCATGCGGGTGGGGGGGGGGGTGGGGGGGGGTGCGGGGGGGGGGATGGTAAGCACACCCGCTCAAGTGCACCCGCTCAGCACTGCGTCTACGCACGCCAAAGAGGAAGCGCACCTATGCCCTTGGAGCGGGCGCTTGGAGCGGGCGCCCTTGAGGCAGGCCCTGCCACAAGCTCGTCGTCTGTAGGATCTTCGCTCCCACTCCGCTCAGCCATTTGCTGCTCATACCGAAGTATGTCTCGCGACAGTGGCGAGAGAGGCTCCGGACCTTGTGGAGTTGGAAACAAGGGAGATCTTGATCGTGACCGGTGACGAGGGTGCCCAGCAGGTGCATCGGACATCTCCTTATCGCTGGTAGCAGGCGTGGGCGACTGCAGGCTGGCCTTGTGGCGGGAGTCCTCGCTGTCGCTGACTTGCACGGGGATTGGTGGCTGCCGCGCAGAAGCAACTGTTGCCGATGCGCCCACATTTTGAAGCCCTTGCTCCATGGCGAGTCGGCTGGCTGCAGTGGGCTTGGAAGCCCTTCCTCCAAGGCGTGCTCCAAGTGGGGCAGGGCGCGTAACTTTCAACTACGCTGCGTGCCGCGACTCATGCGCTGGGAACGTCAGACCGATTCGCTTTGACGTGTGAAGAGCGTCCCTCTGGCCGCTCACTTTCCAACACGTGTGACACTCCGCGCAAAGAGCGTCCCTCTGGCCGCTCGCTTTCCAACATGCTTCTTTGCGCGCTGTCCTTTTACCGTCCCGCTCAGTGACAGTGCCGCCTATGTTGATTGGAAAAAATAGCTTTTCGCTAGGACCGAGAGCGCGAGAGGTTCCTATGCCCGGTCGTGCGGCTCACTACATCCCACGCCTCTTCGGGCGGGAAGCTACTCGAAAAGTCCTGCATCTCAGCAGCGGCTTCTCGCAAGTAGATAGCTGCTGCCTCTAATGCGGCCGCGGCCGCCGCGACATGAATCGACGTGCCGCCTGATATCGCAGGCGTGCTCACAGCCTCCGCGAGGATCGACTGCTCGTTTTCTGCCGCTCGCCTAAGCTCCTGCATGCGCGCGATGTCCTCGGACGTGATCGGAGCCGCCGTGTTGAGGTCACTCATCATGGCAGGCAGAGCGCGCAACTTCCGTTTGCTTGAGCTGCGCTACGCCTGCGTGTCGCGACTCGTGTGGTAAGAACGTGTGGTCGCCTCGTGTTGACGTTCGAAGAGCGTCCCTCTAGCCGCTCACTTCCAAGCACGCGCGACACTACGCACGTAGAGCGTCCCTGTGGCCGCTTCCTTTGCAAAGCACGCAGAAAAGCCAGCGACATGAAGAAGAAGCACGAGGCCGACTAGACGCAGCCGCCCCGTGCATCCCTGGATGGGATCAAGCATAAAGGAAAGGCTTGCACGCGCGTACGCTACTAGTGCGTTTTTGCTTACATGCGCGTGCGAGGCTCACGTGCTTTGCCTTTTTGGGGCACATGCGCGGCATCACATGCGCCGGCGAGACCCACGAAAAACTTGCCCAAAGGGTTCCAAAGTACCGCACCTACCACGAAATCCAGCCCTCTACATGCGCGGGCGAGACCAAATTTACGTGCGCCTGCGAGCCGAAAACCACGTGCGCTCGCGAGGCCGTGACCAATGGGCGCATCTTTGCTGGGAAGCCCTTTTTCGCGGCTGTTGCACTAGCGAAGCCAAGGAAACCAAGCATTTTCTTGGCTGGTTCTCAGATACCAGGGAATGAGGCAATGCGCTGACCAATCAACAAGTCAGACCTATGGTTGGGGCCATTCTCACATTGGCAAAATCTTCCTTACTGAGAACAAGCGACCCGCCAAGCTGTGGGCCAAGGGAAAAGCGTTCACTTTCTCACTTTGATACCTCCCAGGCGTCAAAGTAATGCACCATACGAAGGAAAGGCCGGTTGAATACACTTCCAACATAGGTCCCTAGTTTTGACACAGGGGAATCTTGATTTGTGACTTCATTGGGCTTTCTCTCAAAAACCACCCGTTTTGTACATTTAGGCCGGGCCTTGGCTGCTACACAGACTGCAAAGACAACATCTCAGCGTGTCCAGAAGGGGTCCTCTCTGGATGGATACAGGGGCCAGGTGTTGGAGAGCTTCCCCTGAGCCAAGTTCGATTTCCCCGAAACCGTCCCAAGGCAAAGCTTCAAAAATCTCTCTTGAATCCCTCGGCAAAAGCCTTCCTCGCACAACAAGTCAGCGAGGCCCCTGCTCTTATTGATCCTGCTTGTGGGCCACATCAACGGATGGTGGGATACTTGCGGCCCGTCCCAGGTCCAATGCATGGACAAAGTCCTGGGTTGGTGGATTTTCCCAGTTTTCATAGCGATTCATCCCTGTCGCATGTGTGTTTCCTGCAAAAGCGACCAGAAGTGGAGGGAAACAGACCCTAGTTTGGCAGGGCATGTTAAAGGAGTTGCCTCTGCCAGAAAGAGAAAAAGGGAGTACCCAAACAACATTGGCAGGTGTAATGCTGCAGGCAGTCAACAAGCTTTCGGGTTGCACAGCTTTCTTTCTCCGCATGCTTGAATCTGTCGCGCGTTGGAACATAATGCTAAAACGGCTCGTGCCTGCCACACCTGGCCGAGGGACATCGTGCCAGTGCATAAGGCAGTCCATACATCAAACATGAGCAGGATGGCGGATGTTCTTTGGCTTTTCACGGCAGGACAAAACATATGAATCGTGTAAACCCTTGCATCCCGGGTCCGCTTTGTGTTGCCAGATCCCTCCGTTGTCTTGAATGCACTGGGCCATACTCTCAAACACGCCCATGTGCTCCACGTGTTCAGGCCACGACCCATGATACAAATCCACATGTGCTACACAACTAGCCACTCCATCTAGGAAACAATGTGCCAACTTGTTGGCCTCTAATACATGGCAACTGAATCGCGCGCGCAAACACACGCACACACACATAAACACATATGTAATACATCCAAATACTAGGATGGATTACAGCGACCATACGACGGCAATGTGAAGCTACCCAAGAAACAGCACTCAAACATTTCACAGATCGAGTCGGCCCATCTATGTATTCAACAGAGTAAGTGAAGGCAAATCATACCTGCTTGGGCCACTGACCAGCTGTATGGCCCCATCCCGTTCAGTCTCCATCCCAAACGGCCCAAAAGCTTGACGGACCACGTGGTGTGGCATGGGCGGTCGCATTAACCTGCATTGACATCGCCGCCGCCTCCAACCTGCAGAACTCGACGCCTGGGCTGTGCACCGGACAACCCAGAAACTTGCTGCGCCATCCTCTCAATTCGGGAAAAAGGACGCAAATGGAACTTGAAGAGCTCATTTGTTCAACGCTTTGTCAATCTAACTGAAGGCAGAAAGATAGAAGTCGAGCAACTTGCAGGGCTGCCTGGTGAGTTGGCTGGGAGGTTATGAGCTTTGCTTGTCCGAAACAAACGCGAAAAGGCCAGTTCTCTTGATGCATCTACTTCAAAGACCAGCAGCATGGATCAGGGCCTGGGGAGACTAAGGGAAGAAACGTGGCTCCATGCACGCCATGAGCTTTGGACTGCCAAAGAAGCATGGAATGCAACAGGGGAACTCTACTTCTGGCAGGATCTCTTCAAGTCGCGCATTTCATGCATGGAGTCATGGAGTTGGCCAAAGAAAACACATTGCGCTAAACAAGATGTTTGGTGCTTCCAACAAACTGCCTCCATCGTCCTGTGCTCGTACATGTGTGTTTCTCGCACCGGGGTGGTCAGTGCTCCGCGATCAATATTCCGTCAAGAACAGGCCGGAGAGTCATTCGGTCACAGCCTCACAAATCAAATCAGTCAGCCCAAAGCTGTGGAAACGGCCAATGACTGCTCCTTCAGCAAACCACACTGGAACCTTCAACAATGTGACACACTCTTCAGGCTTGAGCCACAGCCCTGGGGTGAACTATTGCGGCCGCAAGTCGCCCCATCACTTGGTGAGAAGGGCTGGCGCTTGACCAAAGCACATGCCTCATGGTATAAAAAATACGTACACCGGGAAATCCATGCCATCAAGGGCCTGGCGCTCCCAGCGACACCCCTGGCCCAGTGGCAACCCCGTGCGGGGATGGATCGGCGCTTCGCGCTCAAACGTGTCAGCCCCGTGTATGGTGATCTTTCCGCAGCCCCAGCCCTCAGGTCGCCCGTTCTTGAAGCATTCCCTAAGCGTTCAAGGCCAAAGGTCCGACTCCAACACGCCAAACCAAGACTGAGACCCTAAGACGCGAAAATCAACACAAAGTTGAGCCAAAGTCGCCGCGGCAGATTAAGTTCATCGGCCCTTTGGTCGGTGAGCTCGGACGATCCTGCTCCGTATCGTCCCACCCAGTCCTAGGCGAGGCCAGGGCAAAGGGCGCGTGTGCCTGAAATCCATTTTCTGACAAGGCAGGCGAAGACCCTGGCGAAGTGCGGTCCGAGAGTCTGAGGAGAAGATGTTCGAAACCGTGCAGCAGATCACGGCGCCTGCAGCGTGGCGCTCCCGTACTTTTCGAATCCAGTGGCAGCACCAGCCTGTAGTCCAGGCACTGCACATGTGTCCAACACGCAAACAACGTGAACAACTCAAAACAATGAAACCCATCCTGTGGGAGCCACAACAAGCCTCACACACCTGGCATTGGGCAAACCAAGCAGCAGGGGTGCTTGGATCCAACTTCCGGGATGGAATCTGCCGTGCTGGACTCCACCTTGGATCGCCACATCGGATGGCGTCCGGGTGACTCCGGTGGCACCGGCTTGTAGTCTCTTCCGCACTCCTCGCTGGGATGTAGCCAGCGGCCATCATCAGCGGACGCCCCGAACACCGGCTCTTTGTCAAACCATACCGTGGCGGCTCCTCGGCATGGCTTGCGTTGCGGGCGTCGAAACTTTACTTTGCAAACCTTGCCCGCGACATGCTCAAGGCAACATGTGACCTGCGGCTGTTCTCACAGGGCACGTGCACACTCACACAAACACTCAGGATTTCTCATAGATCATAAGCTTCCCAAACAAGTTGCAGGCACGACTGCGCCAATGCCGATCTATGAACACTTGATGCCAATACTCAACGTTTCTTTCTGTGCAGCGATGAACCGTGCTTCAGTTTTTGCTGCATGACAACCAACAACCGATTCTCTACACGTCTCGAACGCGTTCGGTTCAATAATCTCCCTGAGGTAAAACACCAACAGCCCCTTGAAGGGCAATTGCGGCTCGGGAGCCTTTGTCGCCACGCTCGCGCAGCTTCTCCATTACACGCTCGTACGCTTGGCCTCCAGGCACGGATGCGCCGGTGGCAAGGAAGCTCTTTCTCATGCTTTGGAAGGCGGTGAAGCTCTCATAGTAGGTGAAAATTAGGCCAGTGCCGCACACGTCCTTGCACTTCTGCAGGAAGTCCTTGTCCTCCCTGAGCTCCGGGCCGGCCCAGTTCACTAGGAACCAGGAGCGGGTCTTCTCCACCGCCTCCAGGACGAAGGCCTGGTCCTCGCGCAGCTCCTCGGAGGTTCCGGTCTTTGGCACCCCGGACCCCGCGCCACGGCAGACAGCTAGCCGGAGGTTCCGAGCTCACGGTCCGCTTGGAAACACAAGTTATCTCCTTGTCCAAGTTTGGCAAAGGCTATAAACAAGTCTCAACTTTTTAGGCCAGATGCACTGAAGACATCAGCTTGGAATTCTTCAACGTAACCGGTCTGCCTGCATGTTGCCCAACCGACTAATTAGCAAAGCATCAAACTCACAAGCACCAGCCTCAGGCAATAACAGCACATCGGCAAATGCTCAGATCTGCTCCCAACAAAGCGCTCTTCAAAACACAAACAAAGAAAACACAACCCGATGAAGCTCTTTGGATCTGAGCTGCGGAGGAACGTCCCAACTAAACACACCCAGGACTGCATGGCTGGCCAAAGGCGCCCACTCTTGCCCCAATGTTTGTGGAGGCCTCGATCTTGAAATCCAAACCCTCATCATTTCCAGGCGAAACAAGGGTGTCCCAAGCTCTAGATTTTCGAGCAAGCGAACCTGTATTTCGCACTACTTCCGCCGGAGCTGACCAGTGAGAGCTAAAAATCGAGACTCTGGATTGACTCCATTCTGCATTTGACGTTCAAGACATATGTACCCTGGTCAAAAGAGGCGGTGTGCTTAACATACCGACTCCCCATCGACTGCATAAATGTTTCGGGTTCTTGGACCTAGTTTGTTTGCTGCTGGGGATGCCCAAGTCTTTGCCCAAGTCCATACATAACATTACGGGTAACATTGGGAAAAAGGCTCACAACCGACTAGCTAGCAGCATGGCAGATCTGCTTCATCTCCAACAAAGCGCTGTGCAAAGCACAGCCAAGGAAAGCCAGCCCTCATAAACCTTTTATGATGCCTCCATCTTGCATTCCACCTTTTTATCATTTCCCCGCAAAGCAAGGGTGTCCGAAAGGTCTAGCCAAATCTGCAAGATTCAAGGGTGGAAAGGCTGGTGCGCCGTCAGGCGCATGGTAAACTGGATATCTGAAGTCAGGATTTGTTCGCTTCTGAAATGACCAAGTCCTTGCCCAAGTCCATACACAATTCCTGAAAAGGCCCTGAGTGAGGTCTTCCCCCGGACCTTGGAATCGGACGACCCCCCCTTCACCCGCGCCGTGCCCTCCCGGACTGCGACGGCCCGGCAGCTCCTCCGCGGCGAGCTGCAGCGCGTAGCCGTCCTGCGCCACCGCCGCCAGCACAAACTCCCGGTCGCCTCGGAGCTCCTCGCCGCGCGGCTCCCGGGGTCCCAGGACCCAGCGGGGAGCGCCCGGGGGGGGAGAGCGGCCCGGCCCGGAGGAGTCGCGAAGAGCTCCGGGCCAAACCGGAAACGCCGCAGAACGCGCGGAATTTTCCGTCTGCTGGAGATGTAAAAAGGAACCGAAAGGGGCATGGAAAGGAACTGAAAAGCACACGAAAACAAACTTCAGAAAATCGAAAGGTTGCCGCTTCGAAATTCTTCACACTGACCGGGAATTGGGAAATGAGCACTTTGTCTGCCCGGGCTGGCCTTGGACAAGCAATTAAAAGGAATAGAAAGGAATGGAAGCGAGTTGCAAAAATGGAAAGGACGTGGAAAGAACATCTGGCGCAATTCATTTGGTTACGCATGGAAGTGCAAAACATTAAAATTCGGCCCCCGCTGACCTTGGAAAGAAACCGCAAAACAAAAACGCCATAAGTCTCTTTTTTTTGAGCCCTTGTTTTGGACCTTGGCTTTGAGTTCTGGAAATGAGACTCCCATACCTGGGCGAGCGCAGGGCAAACCAGCTCTGCCAGCGAATGTCAATGCTTGATGGTTTGAGAAGGTCATCGAACACTTCAGTCGTTTTCATTCTGGACACTAAGTCTGCTGATTGTTTTGGAGTCTTTGAACAGGCCATAGTCTGCCGACCCCTCGAGGCGCACGGGAAGGGTCATCACCAAAAACGCTCCTTGTTTTTGTTTTATACTAGTTTCTTCTTATATTCACGTGCTTTAGATTCTTGTTATCTTGTTCTTATACTAGAACATATCTTGCCTTGCTTATAGGTTTGTGTTGTTTTTCAATTATTGGCTATGATGATAGTTGTCATCATCATCATCATCATCATCATCACCAAAGTCACGATCATCATCTCATTTGCTACCATGATAGCTATCACCTTCATGATTCAATGCTAAGGATGCTGCGATGACAGTCATCATTGTCATAATAATGGTCAGCATCACTGGTAAAGCTAAGGATGCTATGATGATAGTTGTCAACGTCATGATGGTAATGCAAAAGATGCTGTGATGATAGTTAACATCATCCATCACTGGAAATGCAAAGGATGCTACGCTAATAGTTCTCATCAGCCTGGCAGTCATGCAAAGGGTGCATAACAATAGCTGCAATCATCATGATGGTCATCATCATCTCATCACTAACATCATGCTCATCATCTCTTTCTTTTCTTAAACTTCTTTCTTAAATATACTTTTCAGAACTGACGTTAGACATTGAGGGTAATGCTGAGGATGCTATGTTGGTAGTTGTCATTGTCATGATGGTCATGCTAAGGAAGCCATGGTCATAGTTATCATCATCATGATGGTCGTCCTCACTGGTAATGCTTATGATGCTATGCTGATAGTTATCATCCTCATAACGGCCATCATCACTGGGAAGGCTGAGGATGCCATGACGCAAAGGATGCGATGATCATAGTTGTATCATCATCAGGATGGTGGTGCAAAGGATGCTACGATGATAGTTGCCTGCATCATGATGGTCATCATCATCTCATCAATAGCATCATGATTATCATCTCTGTCTTCTCTGAAATTTCTTATTTACGTTTCAGACCTGACGTTAGACATTGATGGTCATGCTAAGGGTGCTATGATGACAGTTATCATCATGATGGTAATGCAAACGATGCTATGATGATAGCCTTCCTCCCTCTCTGTCATCATCACCGGTAATGCTTAGGGATGCTATGATGATACGTATCATCAACGTGATCCTCATCATCTCAACACTACCAGCACGATCATCATCTTTCCTTGTCTTATTTGTAATTTTCACTCTGAACTGGCGTTTGACGTTGATGGTAATGCTAGGGATGCTATCGTAACAAATATCATCATTATGAATGTCATCATCATTTTTAACGCAAAAGATGCTATGATGATAGCTAACATCATCCTGATGGTCATCATCACTGGTAGTGCTAAGGATGCTATGATGGTTGTCACCATCATGATGGTCATCATCATCTCACCGCTAGGATCATGATCATCATCTCTTCAACCGAAAAGTTCTATGATGACAGTTATAATCATCATGAATGCCATCATCACTCTATGATGATAGTTGTCATCAGCATGATGGTACTGCGAAGGATGCTGTGATGATAGTTATCATCACTGGCAATGCTAAGGATGCTATGAAAATAGCGCATCACTATCATCATGATCATCATGTTTTTTCTAACATCCTCGGCATCAAGATTGACGGCCGGGTGCTAGGGGGCATGCAGTTTGGGGTGTTGGTGGAGGCGCTGTTTTGCAACATTGACGGCCAAGTGCTAGGGGGTACTGCTTTGCGAGATTGACGGACGGGTGCTAGGGGGCATGCATGGGGTGCTGGTGGAGGTGCTGTTTTGCAACATTGACGGCCAAGTGCTAGGGGTCATGTAGTTTGGGGTGCTGGTGGAGGTGCTGTTTTGCGAGATTGACGGCCGGGTGCTAGAGGGCATGCAGTTTCGGGTGCTGGTGGAGGTGCCGCTTTGCGAGATTGACGGCCAGTGCTAGAGGGCATGTAGTGGTGGAGGTGCTGTTTTGCGAGATTGACGGCCGGGTGCTAGGGGGCATGCAGTTTCGGGTGCTGGTGGAGGTGCCGCTTTGCGAGATAGGGGGCATGTAGTTTGGAGTGCTGGTGTGCTGTTTTGCGAGATTGACGGCCGGGTGCTAGGGGGCATGCAGTTTCGGGTGCTGGTGGAGGTGCCGCTTTGCGAGATAGGGGGCATGTAGTTTGGAGTGCTGGTGGAGTGCTGTTTTGCGAGATTGACGGCCGGGTGCTAGGGGGCATGCAGTTTCGGGTGCTGGTGGAGGTGCCGCTTTGCGAGATAGGGGGCATGTAGTTTGGAGTGCTGGTGGAGGTGCCGTTTTGCAAAACTTGCGGCCGGGTGCTAGGGGGCATGCAGTTTGCAGTGCTGATTAAGGTGTTGGTGCCTGTGTTGTTTAAGGTGTTGATGGACAGCGGTTGGGCACTCAGTTTGGGGTGCTGTTTGAGGCGCTGGTGATGGGCAGGCGCATTCTTGCAAGATTGATGGCCGCATGCAGCTTGGGGAGCTGATGCAGCTGTTTTTGGGTACTGTCTGGGGTGCTGTTTGAGGTGCTGCTGACGTTGTGGGCGCAATTTTCGGAGATTGTCGGCGGGTGCTAGGGGGCATGCAGTTTGGGGTGGTGGTGCAGGTGCTGTTTTGTGTTGCTGTTGGAGGTGCTGCTGACCGCGTGGGCTTTTTTCCCAGATAGCTGGAAACCATAAACTTCTAATGAAGAAGGGAAATTGTTTTGCAAGATCGACGGCTGGGAGCTGGGGGGCATGCACTTTGGGGTACTGGCGCAGGTGCGGTTTTGGGTGCTGTTCGGTTCAGGTGCTGGGTGCTCGGTCGGGGACGTATCCGGTGCTGGCGCGGATGCTGCGTTGGGGTGCTATTGGGGCTGCTGTTTTCGGGTGTTGGTGATGGTGCGGGCGCATATGGGTGGCAGGGTGCTAGGGCGGGTGCTGTTTGGGGTAGCAGGAAAAGGCAGAGACGACGTCCTGATGAGTGCGACAGCATCATGATGATGCGGACAGCATCATGATGATGCTCACAGCATCACGGTGATGGCAAAGGCAGCATCCTGATGATACCACAGCCACGAATCATCTTGCAACAGTGTAATGAAATTCGGCATCACCCTGATGCTGACAGCATTATGCCCGCCACCACACCCACGAACCATAACGCGTCATCGCAGCGATTGTAGTAGAACCATAACGTGGTTGACAACATCATGATGATACTCCAGCCACGCACCATTACGCGCGACAGGTAGAGCAGCAACAACGTCCGAATCGGTCAACAGCATCATGATGCTGCTGACAGCACCAATGCTGCGGCCAGCATCATGATGATGCGACAACCACGGTCGATATGTAGCACGGAATCGTTCGTGGCTGGTGTATCAGCATCATCCTGTCAACTAGGAACTCTGCATGTTTGAAGGGATAGGCTTTTGGGAGGCATTGCAGTTGAAAATGGTTATTCCGTGGGGTTTAGGATGGTTTAGGCATGTTGTATCTTATCCGCCTAGGAGCGTTTACAGTGTGTTTCGCAATCTTGAGACTTGACGTCTCTTTTGCTACAGCTGGTTCGAGTGTGCTTGAGTGATCACCTGCAACATCCTCAGCCTCACCAGGCAGATTTTTTGAACAGCTGGCAAGAGAAAACCAGCAGCAACATCCAGCATCACCTGCAACACCCTCAGGCTCACCAGGCTCATTGTTCAAAAAGCTGGCAAGAGAAAATGAGCCACCCCAGCGGCAACATCCTCAGCATCACCTGCGACACCCTCAGCCTGGCCGGGCTCATTTATTGAACAGCTGGCAAGAGCAGCAGTGCGGCAACATCCTGAGCATCAGCTGCAACACCCCGCAGCCTCAGCAGGCTGAATTTTCGAACAGCTGGCAAGAGAAGATGAGCCACCCCAGCGGCAACATCCTCAGCATCGCCTGCAACACCCTCAGCCTCACCAGGCTAATTTTTTTGAACTGCTGGCAAGAGAAAATGAGCCACCACTGCAGCGCGGCAACCTCAGCATCACCTGCAACACCCCCCACTGAATTTTCGAACAGCTGGCAAGAGAAGATGAGCCACCCCAGCGGAAACATCCTCAGCATCACCTGCAACACCCCCCACACCCAGCAGCAACATCCTCAGCATCACCTGCGACACCCTCAGCCTGACCAGGCTAATTTTTTCAATAGCTGGCAGGAGAAGATGAGCCACCCCAGCAGCAACATCCTCAGCATCACCTGCAACACCCTCAGCCTCACCAGGCTCATTTTTCGAACAGCTGGCAGGAGAAAATGAGCCACCCCAGCAGCAACATCGTCAGCATCACCTGCGACACCCTCAGCCTCACCTGGTCAAAACACACTGCTTCCTTGACATACCGATCAACCGCATACTTATAATGTATGTTTGGGATTCTTGAACGTTGATTTCTTCACTTCTGGGATGTCCAAGTCCTTGCCGCCAAAAAACATGAACAAGCATCGCATAAGGACAAGCCTCAAATCGGCCGGAAATCCAATCTCAGAAAAGCTCTTGAGTAGGTTATGAGAGAGGTCTGGGCTGGAATCGGATGACCCCAACCGTGCCCGACAGCCCCTCCGTAGCTCCTGCGAGGCGAACTGCAGCGGGCGGTAGTCCTTTGCCAGCGCCGCCAGCACCACCTCAAGGTCTGCTTGCAGCTCCTGCACATGGCCCAGCTCCGCCCCCGGCACCCAGGGGCCAGCAGAGTGCCCAGCCAACGATTCGAATGCAGCTCTGCCAAACGCCGAAAAAAATGCTGATGGTTCTAAACCCAAGAAAAAACGTACATCCTAGCCCTTTGGACCTTTTTTGGGACCTTGGTCCTGAGTTCTGGAAAAAAGACTCCCAGCGCGCTGCTGGGCTGCTGGGCAAGCCATCGCTGCTCAGGCGAATGTCACTGCTCGATGCTTTACAAGGCAGTCCAGAAAAGCTCTGATTTTTTTGCCAAAGGTAGTTTATACGGGCCTGCCCCAGCACTTTATTAAATATGCATGAAGATGCACTACCTCCGATGGCTTCAGCCTCGGAGAGCCTTAGGTTTTCTTTGTGCGCTGCTGGGGATGTCCAAGTCTTTGCCACCAAATAAACAGACATTTAGCAATCAGGCCCAGATCTGCTGTCGCATATTGTGAGCAAAACCTCTTGAAGAGTCCGCGAGCGAGGACTACTGGGGGCTTGAGATCGGATCCCCGCCCAACTGCGTGCCTTGACCTCCGGACTGCCCCCCGGCAGCTCCTCGGAGGCGAACTGCGCCCGGTGGTTCTTCCTCACTGCGGCCAGGACCGCCTCACGGTCTGCCTGGTGCACATGGCCCGGCTCCGAGGCTTCCGGGGCCTCGGGGCGCGGGGGTCAGCGCAGGCGCGCTGGCGTCGAGCGCAGCTCCGGGGAAAAAAGGCGGACAACGCCCTGGGCGTGCTGATGCTTTGGAATCGTTGAAGTCTCAGCATCGAACATCCTAGGCCTTTTTTGGACCACATTTTGGACCTTGGTCCTGAGTTTTGCAAATCAAGCCATCTTCAGAAGGGTCCCAAGCAACATCAAAGGCCATACCAACATATAGAATGCATCGGATTGGAAGCATCAGATTGGAATCTTCGACGCATCCGGTTTACCTATGCGTTGCCCAACCGACTCGCTAGCAACACGTCAAACACACAAGCACCAGCCTGAAGCCAGGAGGAGGCTCAGATCTGCTCACACATTCCGAACAAAATCACACTCAAAACGCAAAGAAAGAAATCCGATCCCAATAAAGCTCTTTCAAAGGCCGTGAGTGAGTCCTCCCTCCGGGAATGGAATCGGATGGCCCCAAATCGTGCCGTGCCTGTACCGAGTTCCCTGCCGGCGGCTTGAGCAGCAATGCTTTGGCAGCTCGGTCGAAGAGCCTTTCCACCTGACGAACGAATGGAACAACACAAATCCCGGGGTCCGCCAGAAAACCGCGCAAGATGTCGAATCTCCAAAAGGTTTTCATCTCCCATAGGCTATACAATTGTTCTCGGGAAACCAAAGAAAAGCAACCAACCCTTGGAGGAATCTTTCAGAGGTTCGGCACAACGATACTTTGTAGCCCACGTCCGTGCCACTTCGCTTCTCACAATCCCTTTGGATAGTCTAGCACTTAAATGTTCCTTTGGTTTCCCTCCAAAATGGAACCCACCGGTGTTCGCAGCTCGAAACATTCAGCTCCTACATGCAGCTGTTTGGATGTTCGGGAAACATCACCCTTGCGAGTTGGGCCATTCCCACTTTCTCCGGGATTCCCTTGGTACAGAACATTGCCCCGCTAGCCGCATTTCCCGCAACCAAGACTGCCCCCATTATTTCCCCATTATCAAAGTCATGAAGAGAAGCAACCAATTCCAGCTTCTGACTTTGAGAACCCCCTCCCCATAAACAGAACCAATATGCTGCCAGCATGACCCAACCACAACGGGACGAACCATTCCACATTCCACGGCGAATCATTCCACGCCCCACGCCTGCTCCTGGATCTTCGGCACGTCTTCCTCATCCTGGAACTCTACTTGCTCGAACTCGATCTCGAACGTGCGTTGCGCCACATCGATCTCAAAGCGCTCCACCTGAGCAATCAAACCCGGTACTGAAAGGGTCTACCCAAACCAACGTAGAATCCAAAGGGCGGCCCACCATATCCTTAATCTACCCTGGTTTGATTGGCATACTCAAAACCTGGTATGAATGTGGTCTGCCCAAAACCAAAGGTAAAAAACCAAAAGGGTGGATACCGCTATGGTTGGGACTGGCCCTTACTATCCTTAACCCCAGGAATCGCTTTTGATTGTGGCTGACCTGAGAGCAAAGAATCCATGGGCTCATGGGTGTTGTTCCTTCTGGGATGGGACTGGAAGTGGACAAGTTGCCATTTGTTCTCTGAAAACGATCCTTTTGTCATCCTGCGATGAGTGTGGCTCCGTTTTGGATGTCACCCCTCCCACCAACGCGGAAAATTGGCAACCAACAACTGAGGCTATCATCGAACAAGGGAACTATCCCTTCTTCCTTCAATCATGGAAGTGGACAAAAAGCTTTTCCCATGGACCGGCGAGTCTTGAGAGCTTCAAGATCGACCCTCAAACCGATCAACTTGTCAAGGTTTTGGGGGCTGGATGGACAAATGTCGTACTCAGCATAGCACTGCGCGGGATCCTTGCAGCCTGGGCTGAGAGGGGCGGCTTCGGCGCCCTGACGTGCTCTTGCCCCCTTCGGCGGCTCTCCAACTTCGCTTGACTTAGCCGTTACTGGCCCTCGGATTGAGGCGCTGGCGGAGGGCGACAGCGTCTGCTGCTGCTTACGCGGGGGTGAAGGTGGCTTTCATTGAGACATGCTGAGCATGTGCTTGAGTTTGCTGAGCCTGAGCTTTCGCGCAGGATCTTGACTGTGCGGCATGCTTGAAGATCTGTACGAAGCGGTGCTACTGCAAACACACATGCAAAACGCAAGGCAGCTCCAAGCATGCAAAAGGACCTGCAATATCAGCACACGTCGAGTTGAAAGGAATTCATGAAACACTGCCCGAAACACTTCCCAACGTGCTTCTTGGGTGCATCTGCTGAGCAGTAGTTGTGTGCATCGTTAAAGAAGCGCATCTTGAATAAGGGACAGGTGACTGCATCCACTGCCTTACAAACTTATGTTGACGACGCATAAGCCACCGATGCCAAACCCATGCCCGAAACTGGTGACACCTGCTCCAGTTTCAGCTTGCCGTTCACGAGTAGCCGCACGTGGTTGCCGGCCAGCTGTAAGAGAACGACCTCAGTGCTGCTTGGTGTGGTAGGTACTCCAAGGAATGTCCTTGCCAACTTCACCTTGCCCACCCACCAACTAACATGGGACCCACCGAAGGGGGGGGGGACACTTTTGGAGGACAGTTGTCTTCCAGGATCTCCGGTCAGGCTCCATGTTAGTTTGTAGGGGCAAAACCCAGAATTGGCGGTTAGGATTGGTGTCTTGGGGGTTTGGGGGCAGCTTTCCAAGATCAACTTGGGTCATGGTCAAACATTTAATCCAAAGAAAGGTGTAACCTAACATCAAACAACCATGAACTATTCGTCTCTGTCCTGACTTGCACGGTGTGTCACCCTTGCACTAATCAGCACACACCAAGCAAGGTCGAATCCTCAAGCCATGCGTCGTCGCCGTCAGTGTCCGTGAAGACAACTTCGTCCAGCTTCGTCTCAGAGCTCTTTCCTTGGATCGTGGCACATAAAAGCCATGTCAACCTGATCCGCCCGCCATCTCTTCCAGTATTCAAACTGAAGGTGCCCCGTAGTTTGGAATCGACTCAAAACTTGGGTGCCACTCAAATACGCCCAGGTGGTATCCCCAGCAACCACCGGAACCCTTCGGCCACTCCACACCACCCCAGAAACTCTTCGAAACCCGTCAGATCCCCAAACCAGCAGGAACCCAATAAAGCAACTGCCTCATCAAAGCCTCCGAAACATCCACACCCCTACACAGCAACCGCTCCATGCAACCCTTGGAACGTTCCGAACCTGAAGGAACTGCTCCCGGAACCCTACCTCGCTGCTCCGGACCACTTTGGGGCTGGGCAAGGACGCCACCAGTCAGGACCGTTTCCCTTAGAAACTGATTAGGCAAAACCAAGTCAACGTGCTTGTTCCCCCGGGACACGTTTCCCTTCAGTTCCAGACCTCAAAAAGGGCGCCAGCTCTCAAACGCAACACAACTCTTCACGAGGGCATCTCCATGCGGTTTTTGGTTGCTGTTCAGCAACTGTACACCAAAAACATGTATATTTTCAGACTCTGCAAAGCATACTCAGTCTGCCCTGAAGAAATAACCTTGGAGATGCCAAACAAATGGCTTCAGAAGGACACGTTTTGCTGCAAACATTCGATCCAAGAGGCTTGCAGAGTCCTGGCCGAAGCCCGCCGGAGCTTTGGACACATTGTGTTTGGGGGTGTCTTTGGGGATCCATGAGGAAATACTTATTTCTGCAGGTTTTCCAAAACAGTTTGAGATTTGATTAGGAGCGGATTCTGAAGCCGCTTTGGACTCGAGCGCACAGACAAAAGTGCGCCGGACTGATAGCCAGATTCACAGGTTATGAGCCCAAGTCACGCGGTGTGACACTGGCGCCATGGATGGCGCTGACTCAGGGAGGACCCGGAGAAGGACCACCCTGGAGAACAACGGAAAGGGAACCGGAGGCCGAGTCGGCCCAGTGGTGGAGGAGGTGGAGGAACCTGCCTTGATAGCCAGGCCGGATGGGTTGATTGAGGCGGCAGCTTCGACCCAATGGCCTGGAGGGCCGCAGGGGGAGCCATCGTCGATTCAGCCTGGGCCGGCAGAGAACGAGCTGTTCACTCCGGAGCAGATGAGAAGGTTGGATGAGTGGACAGCCGAAGCTCCGCTCATTCACGCAACAGGAGCTGCAACAGGCCATGGAGGTTTTGAGGGCTACATCCAGCGGTCCAATGAGGGCATGCAGGTGGAAAGGCAGTTGGCTCTGGCAGCACAACAACTTGCTCTACCAGGACCAGCGGGAGATGCCGAAGGCCCACGGCCTGCTCAACGGCAAGAACTGGGGCCGCAGCTGGTACTTCTTGGACCTGGGGGACATCTTGAAGGCTCACGGCTTGCTCAATGGCAAGATCAAGGAACACGGCAACAGCCGGGACTACCTGAACCAGGACGGCATGCTCAATGGCCAGATCCGATGCAGGAGATGCGCTACTACATGGCACAGATCCTGGCGGATAACCGGAGGCTGCACCAGGAGGTGGGTCAATGTCTCAGCCAAGTCCAGGACATGCAGCAGAACTGGAAACCGCCGGAGGTGGAAGCTACTCGAGGAGGTGATCAGAGTGACAGGTTTGCCACGCCTGAGGAACATGGAACCCCAGAAGGCCGTGGAACTCGAGGTGAACCTGCTGATCCTGAGGAAGAATCCTCGGAGCTGCGTGAGGACGAGCCGACGGGCCCGAAGGACAAGTCCCTGGACATCATGCTGAAGATCGTGCAGGGCATGCAGAACATGCAGCAGCAGATGCTGGACACCAAGAAGAAGGTGGACCACGGCGATGACACGAGCGAGACGGTGAAGAATGTCACTACGGATTTGCCGAAGCTCGTGGAGTATAAGCCGGAGAGTGCTCCCATCGACCTGGGAGATTGGATTTGCGTCCTGGAGCCGATCATGGCGGACCTCAGTGAATCGTCACAGCAATGGTGGCAGCAAGTGGTGGAATCGGCGAGGAGGTGGTACGGAAGGTATCAGACAACGCCGCCGCTGGAAAGACTCAAGCTGCAGCCGAAGGACCCTCCGGAGCTTCAAGAACCGAAATGGCGGAGGCTGGAGAGGCGTGCTGTGGGACTACTTCTTCGCGCTCTTCCTGATGGAGCTCGTGAAGAGATGGTGGCAACGAAGTCCATGACTTGCTATGCGATTCTGTGCAAGCTCATGGCGAGCTACCAGCCGGGAGGACTGGTGGAGAAATCGGTCATCCTGAAGAACCTGGAAAGTCCCCCGGAGGTGGACTCCCTGGCGTCGCTGGTGGTTGGTTTGAGAAAATGGATGAGGTGGAAGCAGAGGGCGCAGGAGCTTGGGGTGACCATTCCGGACCCCACGGTCCTGGCCCGCTCCCTCAGCAAGATGGTGAAGAAAGTGGTGGAGATGCAGCCGGAGCTCTCGTTTAAGATGGCACTGGCGAGGAACTCGCTCCAGCTGGACTCCATCCCCTCTCACGAGGCAGTGGAGAAGTACGCAGAGCACGTTCTGTCGGAGGTGGAAGCGATCGCCCACTTGGAGAAGGAGGTCAAGGCCCCAGCGGGGAAGGCGCAGGCCACGGACACCCGGATCAAGAAGGCAGAGGCTGTCGACTCCAAGAATGAGGTGAAGAGCGCTGGAGAAGGTGGGAAACCATGCAAGTTTTTCCTCACCGAGAAGGGCTGCAGGAGAGGACGTGGCTGCCGTTGGAGCCATGACCAGAAGGATGAACGCATGAGATGCTGGTCGTGCGGGGCGAGCGAGCACATGCGAAAGGACTGCCCCGTGGCGATCAAGAGCAACGTGGACCGAAAGCCCAAGGCGGCGAAGGTCAACGCGGAGGAGGAAACGAAGAAGGACGTCGGGACGGAGAACCAGAAGGTCACAACTCCGAGGGCGTCTATGTCGGCAACGGTGCAAGAAGATTCCCCGGGAGCGGCGAGTTCAGCATCGGGCGACAAGGAGACGGACGCAATGAAGGACGTGCTCCAGGAGGCGACCAAAATGCTCAGGAGCATCAACGTCAAGACCGGCAAGAACGGACCGGAGGACGATGAGAAGAAGCTGATGGAGCTGCAGAAGCAGCTGGACGGCATGCGAGAAAAGATGCGGGTTCGACAGGTGAGGTTGTCGAAGATGGAGATCGGTGGGATGCGCGGACTGGTGGATTCAGGAGCAACGCACCCGCTGAGACCCATGATGAAGGGCGAGGACACCTCGGACTATGAGGAGAAGACCGTAGAGTTGGCGGCTGGAGAGACCTACCGCCTGAAGGTCACCTTGGGAGGAACCCTGGTTGCGGAAGACGAGCGGATACAGCCGATCATCCCCATGGGAATGCTCACGAAGGACTTGAATTGCCAGGTCAAGTGGAGCGGGAAGACATGTGCGGTGGTGCACCCTGGACGAGGACGTCTACCGGTGGTGATGAGTCAAGGCTGCCCGGAGTTGCCGAGAGAACTGGCCCTCAGCTTGATCCAGGAGCTCGAGGGGGTGAACCGCTACAGGGTCAAGGCGCTGTCAAAGCGGGATGAGGTGGACTTCATCAAGCAGGTGGTGGAGACGCACCCGGTGTTCGACGGTGTGCCGGAGGCGATCAAAGAAAAGTTGATGGTCAACCCGGCGGAGGACTGGAAACCTCTGGGATTGAATAGGAGCCGGAGGAGAAGGCTTGAGAAAAAGGGAGGTGCGATTGTGCACCTGTTTGCAGGCCCGGAAGAGGGATTTGATTTGTCCCGAGCTTACAAAGAGCAAGGAGGTGATCCAAGGGACATCCTGGAGTATGACATCCTCCGTGACAACAGCCACGACCTCATGGACGACGAGCTCATGGGTGGCTTGGTGCGGCTGGCTTTGGATGACCGAATCAAGGCAGTGGTGGGGGGCCCGAATTGCAGGACGCGATCAGTGCTGCGGTTCTTCCCCTTGCTCAACAGGGCCAAACCGCGACCGGTGAGAACGGTGGAATATCCCTGGGGATTGCCGGGGATGGACCAAGGAGAAGAAGCCATCGTCTACGAGGATGACGTGCTCATGTTTCGCTTCATCCTGGTCTACTTGCTGGCAGACCTCACGGCAAAGGCCAGAGAGGAGAGAGGTGGCGCGGTGGAGTTCTTCCTGGAGCAGCCGGCAGAGCCGCAGGCGGAGCCGAGGTGTGCATCGTGGTGGCGGACACCGGAGTGGGAAGCCCTGGAGAAGCTCCACGAGCTAAAGAAGGTGACGTTCTTGCAAGGTGACTGGGGTGGGCGAGCGGCGAAGCCTACCATGGACTTCAGAGGCCCCGAGAAAGGCATCTGCAAGCTACATCAAGGAGGTCATCAAGGGCAAGAACAGGAGACGGACAAGCCGAGGTGGATGATGACGGATGAGGAGAAGCTCAGCTCCTCGAAGGCGTTGGCTCGATGGGCCCCTGGGATGATGCGGGAGCTCGCGAGATGCCTTCGGAAGGAGGTGGACGGTGAGTCGAGAACGAAAGTGAAGGCCCTGTCGTGGGAGGAGCATGTGAAGTTGGGGCACCTGCCGTTTCGGCGGGACTGCCGAGTTTGTCAGGAAGCCTCAGCCAAGGACAGGCCACATCGAAGGGTGCGACATCCAGCCGGGAATGTCCTCTCAGTGGATTTGAGTGGGCCGTTCATCAAGGGCATCGATGTGGATGGAGTCCAAGACCGAAGGTACCTGCTCGTGGCTGCGTTCACATGGCCACAGATCCACACCGAAGAAGGTGAGGAACTTCCTGCTGCAGAACCAGGCGAGGGAGAAGATCTACTACCGGTGGAGGAACAGGTGGATCAGGACGAGCAGGAGGAAGAAGAAGGCTTCATTGTGGAAGGAGCCCGAGAGGAGGACGAGCAGCCGGTGATTCCGGAAATCCAGAAGGAACCGCACCCGCTGAAGACGTTGTACATGACGGTCCCGCTGAAGTCCAAGGACAAGCGGGAGGTCTTGGCGGCGATCCAGGAGGTCTATATCAGATTGAGAAGAGAGGGCCACCTGGTGCTGAGACTGCACTCAGATAAAGGAGGCGAGTTCATGAGCAAAGAACTAGCCAGCTGGTGCCGACTGAGGGACATTAGAAAGTCCACCAGGACACCAGATCAGATGCAGGAGAACGGAAGGGCAGAGGCCGCAGTTGGGGTCGTAAAATCCATGGTGAGGAGGGTGCTGATAGCATCACGATGGGAACCGAAGTGGTGGCCCTGCATCGCCCGCTACGTCTCGGAGGTGCGCTTCAAGTTTGACCAGACCGGAGACCATCCGAAGTATCAGTTCGGAGAGGAGGTGGTGGTGCCGAAGAGAGCTTGGAAGCAGAAATCCTTTGAGGCGAAGAATCAGCGAGGCAAGTATCTGGCCCCGCTCTATGACATCACCCACGGTCACGCGGTGAAGCTGGACTGTGACAACAAGGTGGTGGCGGTGTCGAAGGTTCTCTCAGGCTTGCGAGAAGGGGAAGCCCCGAGAGCAGAAGGACAGGAGGAGGAAGAGAATCCTGATGGGGAAGCTCTGTTCGATGAAGCTCTGCGTGTGAGAAGACGGTTGAGGATGAAGACGAGCGATCCGAGAAGGATGGACGATGGAGGAGGTGAGAAGGTTGCGGAGCGGATTCGATTGTTGCGGAACCTCATCATGGAGGAGGAAGAAAGGATGTTGGAAGATGGAGAAAACGCAGCTGAGGTCACCTTCAAGATGGTGAGGAAGCTGAAGGAAGAAGAGGAGAACCTGAAGCAGACCGTGCCGGACCACAAGGAGGCAGAGAAGGTCTTGCATACAAAGATGGTCTCCACGAATGAGGTGATCGCGGACAAGGAAGCCTGGGCAACGTCGATCAAGATGGAGCTGGATTCTCTGATGACAGAGAAGAAGGCGTTGCGGCGATTGGCTCCTGGGGAAGCCGCGAAGTTGATCAAGGAGAAGGGCAACAAGCTGACCGTGGTCCCGGGCAAGGCCATCTTCAGTGTGAAAGCGGGAAGTTCGCGGCGGAAGACCAGGTTGGTGGTGTGCGGGAACTACGTCGCCCAGAACTCGGAGGCGGAAGGAGACACCTTTGCGGGCGGTACGGACATCACGGCGATCCGCTTGCAGGTGAAGGTCGCCATGGAGAGGAAATGGACGATGTCCGCGTTGGACATTAAGTCTGCCTTCCTCAATGCAGATGTGCATGGGGAAAAGGAGCCGGAGCACCTGGTGGCGATGCGGCCGCCGGCGATCATGGTCAGAATGGGCTACGCAGAGCCCGGAGAACTATGGCTGATAGACAAGGCCATGTATGGGCTTCGCCAAAGCCCGAGAAGGTGGTCAGACCACCGAGACGCGGAGCTCGTGACGGTCCAGTGGGAGGTCGACGGCGCCTACTACAAGTTGGATCAGTGTGCTGCAGAACAGAATTTGTGGCGCATCCTGGAAATCCGAGGCGCGGAGGAGATCTTGGCGGGACTGGTCACTATCTACGTTGATGATGTCCTCACTGCGGCGGAGGAGGCCGTGCGAGAAAGGTTTGAGGCCATCATTGCGCAGAAATGGGAGACGAGCGTGCCGGAGGTGTTGAAGACCGGGAATCAGATTCGATTTCTGGGAATGAACTTGAAAAAGGAGGAGAATGGAATCTTCCTGCACCAGCAGGACTACGTGGAGGAACTGCTGACCCGGCACAAGGACGAGGTGAAGAAGGCGAAGGCGCCCATGTCCAAGGAGATGGCGGATGAGGCGGAGGAGACGATCGGCAACCACACGATGACGGATCTTGCAAGAGCACAGAAGGTGACGGGCGAGATCTTGTGGTTGATGACGAGAACACGGCCCGACCTCCTCTACAGTATGAGCCGACTATGCAGCATGGTGTCGAAGAACCCGAAGTGGGTCATCAGAGCTGCGGGCTATATCCTGGGCTACCTGGACTCGACGAAGGACTGGGGGCTGTGGGTGTCTGGAGAATCTGGACGGCATTGGAGCGGCCATGGAGCAGCAGGACTTCAGGCATACGCTGATGCCTCCTTCGCCCCACTTGGGGAAAGAAGCCAAGGATGCTCCCTGGTGTCGTGGAACGGCACGGTCATCGCGTGGAAAGCAGGGAAGCAAGCATTTCCGGCCTTATCCACGGCGGAATGTGAGTTGATCGAGGCCATCGACAGCGTGATCCTTGGGGACAGCGTTGAAGCGCTGATCACGGACACCTTGGGGCTGGACGACTTCAAGAAGATGCTGCTGTCTGACAATGCAGCAGCGGTGGCGATAGCCACGGACGTGACGGGATCCTGGCGAACGCGGCATCTTCGGCTTCGAGCGTTTCATCTTCGGTGGCGAATCAGAGCCGGGGATTGGGAGTTGCGCCATTGCCCTGGACAACAGATGTTGGCCGATCTTGGCACAAAGCCACTGGGCCCAGCGAGGATCAAGGAGCTGTGTGCCTTGTGGAATCTGAAGGCCATGCGAGAAGAGGATGAACAAAGCAGGCTGAACAAGGCCGTGGTAATGCAGCCGGAGGTGGACAAGTGGATCAAGCTGCTGGTGATCTTGATCATGATCACAGGATGCCGAGCTCAAGGGAATCAACAGCCGGAGGAGGAGAAGATTGACCTTGCGGTGGTGGTCTTGGTGATCGCAGTGGTGGCGATTGTGGTGTACCGCTTGGTCCACGAGGTGGCATCGGACATCTGTCTGAAGGTGAAAAGATTGAGAGTGAGAGGTGTGGAGCAGAGCACCCAGACGGAAAGTGAGGAAGAAGTCATTGAGGTGCCGAGGACACAGAGCTCTTCGGCGGCCAGGTCTTCCAGCTCGGGAAGCGGGAATCCCTCAAGGGCAAGTTCAATGAGGAGGCGCCGAGGGGGAGACGCTGATCGAGCAGAACAGCCAGTTGCAGAGCAACCTCAGCCGAGGCCAGTGGAACCGGATGCAGAGGACGAACGCTTGAATGCACGCTGGCGGGAGGAGTTGCGGGTGATGGAGCAGCTTCGTTGGCGGGAGTTGCAACCGGAGCCCGAAGCGGTCGAGGTATATCACTTGACCGGAATGGGCGACAAGATTCATTGCCGCCGCAACTGTTATGGGTTGCGAAATGCCACAGTTCGCGGAATGCGGGCGGTTTTGCCTTGTTCCAGATGCTGGATGGGAGGAGACAGGCAGCGAGTTCGTGGGGCCAGGAGCTGGAGAGGAGATGACGGCTTCTTGCACGCGTCGATTCACTGCGCCGGCATTGGGCAGGCTCCACTTCGACCCTTGCAGCCATGTAGTTTCTGCCAGGGAGGAGTGACCCAGGACAATGAAGAGATGATGAGGGACGCGGGCCGGTTTCCGCGTGGACTTCTATGAGCGGCTTGAGCTGAACACGTTCTTCAGATGACGTGAGAGGCTCGCAAGGCAGCACAGACTGCCGACTTTTGTCATTTGAGTCCTCCCGGACACAAAGGGGAGGAGTGCAGGTTTTCCAAAACAGTTTGAGATTTGATTAGGAGCGGATTCTGAAGCCGCTTTGGACTCGAGCGCACAGACAAAAGTGCGCCGGACTGATAGCCAGATTCACAATTTCAACCCGACTCTCCACCTACTTCATGGTGTTGGGGTCCAAAAGCATCTTGGGGATGGAAGACACAGGGTCTTCTTGGTTTGTTTGACAACTCTCCAGCCTCCGCATCCTCTGTGCTCGGCAGCTTGGGTGCCGCTTCGTCCGACTCGGCCTGGGCTTCGTGGACCCAGCCCCAACTGAGTTACCCAGCACACGCAAACAAAAATACGCACTGCGGGGTAAATACCCGGCAAACTCAAGTGAACCATTCTGGTGAATTTGAGGGGAGGGCTTCCAAGAAAAGGGCCGGTGACCCCGGACCCTCGCAGGTTGCAGGTAGACGTGGCAGCCCTCGCAAGGTTTGATTGCTGATTTGCGTTGGGCAACAGACTTTTCGCAGCTGACAACTTCCCTCTGGGCAAACCCCCCCTCCAGACATACTTGAAGGAAACGCAAAAACAACATTTCGATGTGGAAGCATTCCGGAAGAATGTAACTGGGCAACAAAAGCAACTCACAAATGAAACCTTAAGATCATTTACGTTGGACTCATTCCCAGGAGCCTGAAAAACGGAGGGAAGCCCTTGTTGGGTCTTACCATCATGAACCAGAGGGAAGCAAACCTCATTTCAATTTAGTTGGGATGTTTTGTCACGGAAAAAACACGGCAAGCATTGACATACCGCAGCGGGTCATGCCAATTTGCGTCGTTTACTACAGGTCAATGTGTTGTCCAATGCCAAGACACATCAGGGGAAGACACTTCAGTTGTTTGCCAATGTCAAGGACCTACTATGCCGTTCAGCAAAATGCAGGAAGATGGACATCAAACAAGGGGCAAGCTCCGAAAGCTAAATCGACGCCCTGCTGATCAGAAAGTACAACATAATCAATATTTAGCTTTCAGGCAACGCCGACAGATCCGCGCCTGTACTTCCGGCGACTCCCCGTGGAGCTCGGGGGCGAGCGGGGGCAGTTCTTGGTGGAGCTCTTGGGTGGGCAGGGCTGCGTACGCCTGCGCAGTCCCCAGCTGCGCAGCCTGCGTGGGTCGACCGCGGCAATCCCACGAAAGGCCGGAGAACAGCTGAGCCCTTCAAAGGGATGCCTGTTTTGCAAGTGACTTTGTATCATAACACGATGTACATGGCGTGATCTAATGTAAATGGATGCGACTGGGAACGATATCAAAAGAGAGATGTGCTTTTGCAAGCCTTTACATATGTGTGCGTCACATAAGTTGGTAGACCATGATTTCAGGGGAGACGCATCTTGCCATGCGATGATATATGTGCGGTAATAACATGGGTTGGCACGACACACAGCGGAACGCCAATGCATGTGACACCGGCAGACACTACATGTTTGGCACATCAGCATCTAAACACAGAATGATGCTATTCGGCGCAAAACTAAACCAGTCTTCCTGCAGGCTGACATTCCCTTGCACGTGTAACGTACCATGTACGGATATGACAGTATCAAGTCACAGTAACATGATGGCACCTGACCTTGTGTGGCGTCATAGACCGTGTTGTGGCGTGAACTGATTTTACTCCATGTCTAAACAGGAGTGCAATTGCAGCCGTCTTTCACTTTACACAAAAACACAAGGGTGCGGATTTATTCCCCAGATAGCTGAAAGCTATAGGGGTTCTAACTTCTAATAAAGAAGGGAAAGTGATTTGCGAGATTAAGGGCCGGGTGCTATGGGGCATGCAGTTTGGGGTGCTGGTGGAGGTGCTAGGGGGCATGCAATTTGGGGTGCTAGTGGAAGGGCTGTTTTGCGAGATTGACGGCCGGGTGATAGGCGGCATGTAGTTTGGGTGCTGGTGGAGGTGCTGTTTTGCGAGCTTGACGGCCGGGTGCTAGGGAGTCCAAGTTGGAGTGCTGGTGGAGGTGCTGTTTTGCGAGATTGACGAACCTGTGCTAGGGGGCATGCAGTTTGGGGCGCTGGTGGAGGTGCTGTTTTGCGTGATTGACGGCAGGGTGCTAGGGGGCATGTAGTTTGGGGTGGCGAGAGTGATGGCCAGGTGCTAGGGGGCATGCAATTTGGGGCGCTAGTGGAAGGGCTGTTTTGCGAGCTTGACGGGCATGCAGTTTGGGGTGTTGGTGGAGGTGCTGTTTGGCGAGCTTGACTGCCGAGTGCTAGGGGGCATGTGGTGCTGGTGGCGGTGCTGTTTTGCGAGACTGACGGCCGGGTGCCTGGGGTGCTGGTGGAGGTGCCGCCTTGCGACATTGACGGCCAAGTGCTGGTGGAGGTTTTCGAGCTTGACGGCCGGGTGCTCGGGGGCATGCACGCTGGTGGAGGTGCCGCTTTGCCAGATTCCGAGTGCTAGGGGCCACCCAGTTTGGGGCGCTGGTGGAGGTGCCGCTTTGCGAGATTGACGGCCGGGTGCTAGGCGGCATGTAGTTTGGGGTGCTGGTGGAGGTGCTGTTTTGCGAGCTTGACGGCCGGGTGCTAGGGGGTGCAGTTTGGAGCGCTGGTGGAGGTGCTGTTTTGCGAGATTGACGGCCCTGTGGGTGCTAGTGGAGGTGCCGCTTTGCGAGATTGACGGCCGGGTGCTAGGGACATGTGGGTGCTGGTGGATGTGCTGTTTTGCGAGATTGTCGGGGGGTGCTGGTGGAGGTGGGGTGCTGTTTGGTGCCTGTTTAAGGCGCTGATGGACTGTGGGTGCTAGGAGGCATTCAGTTTGGCTGGTGCACGTGCTGCTCGGGGGTGCTGTTTGATTGAGGTGCTGGTGATGGTGCAGGCACATTCTTGCGAGATTGATGGCATGCAGTTTGGGGTGCGGATGCAGGTGCTGTTTTGGGGTAGTGTGGGGTGCTGTTGCGGTGCTGGTGACGTTGTGGGCGCAATTTTCCCAAGATTGCCGGCGGGTGCTGGGGATGCAGTTTGGGGTGGTGGTGCAAGTGCTGTTTTGGATTGCTGTTTGATGTGCTGCTGACCGCGCGGGCGCTTATTTCCCAGATAACTGAAAACCATGCGGGTTCTAACTTCTAATGAAGAAGGGGAATTGTTTTGCAAGATCGACGGCTGGGAGCTAGGGGGCATGCGCTTTGAGGTACTTGTGCAGGTGCGGTTTTGGGGCGCTTTTCGGGCTGGTGACAGTACCTGGCAGCAGGGTGCTCGGGGACATGTGCGGTTGCCCGAGGGCGCTTACACGGGCGCCCGGCTGGCCGCCTGGGTCAGCTCCAACTTTGCCACCGCCACCTATAGCGAGACCACAAACAGCCTGAGCGTTGCCTACGACGGCAACCGGCTGATCCTGAACGACCTGGAGCGCTGGCGCGGGTGCTGCGTCGGGGTGCTGTTTGGGCTGCTGTCTTGAGGTGTTGGTGACGGTGCGGGCTCATATGGACGGCAGGGTGCTAGAGCGGGCGCTGTTTGGGGCATCGCGGTTGTGGCATCATCATGATGCTGCGGACAGCATCATGATGCTATTGAATCGGTTCGGATGTCATGGTTTGTGGGTGTGGTGGCGCCATGATGTCAACATCAGGGTGATGCTGAATGTCATTACGCTGTCGCAAGACGATTCGTGGCTATGGTATCATCATGATGTTGCCTTTACCATCACCATGATGCTGCCCGCATCATCATGATGCTGCCCGCATCATCATGATGCTGTCCGCATCATCATGATGCTGTCAAACTCATCAGGACGTCGTCTCTGCTTTTTTCTGCTAGATATGTAGCGCGGAATCGTTCGTGGCTGGTGCATCAGCATGATGCTGTCAACATCACCAGTATGCTGCTGAACTCATAAGGACGTTGTCTGTGAGTCAAAAAAGCACCATGCAGAGCGGCTGTGGTATCACCATGATGCTGTCAACATCATCATGATGCTGTCAACATCAGCATGATGCCGCGGGAACCATTATGATGCTGCGTCATGGTTCGTAGCCGTGGTGTGCTATCTGGGGTCTATGCTGGTGTATTGTTGGGATTTTTCCGTTTTTTTGGGGATTTTTCCCCAGATAGCTGAAAGCTATAGGGGTTCTAACTTCTAATGAAGAGGGGGAAGTGATTTGCCAGATTGATGGGCTGGTGCTAAGGGGCGTGCAGTTTGGGGTGCTGGTTTTTGCGGATTGGGGTGCTGGTTTGAGGTGCTGATGGCAGTGCGGGCGCATCTTTTCAAGATTGACGGTAGGGTGCTAGGGGGCATGCAGTTTGGGGGTGCTGGTGCAGGTGCTGTTTTGGGGGTGACGGTGTTTTTGCATCTTGACGGTAGGGTGCACGAGAGCATGCAGTTTGGGGTGCTGGTGCTGGTGGTGTTTTGGGATGCTGCTTGGGGAGCTGTTTGAGGTGCTGGTGACGGTGCGGGCGCAATTTGCGATATTGACGTCCGGGTGCTACAGGCAAACGACAAAGTCATGCCTAAGTCACTCCTTCATCTGTGTGGCCATGTGTTCCCCCATGTAAACGCCAATTCCAAGAAGTCACTCCTAAGTCACGCCTCGGCAACAATCCCCATGGAACGCTTGACATCACCGAGCTGATCATGCTACAAAAAGACAGGTGTCAACAATGAAACACAATGGAACGCTACTGGTGGCAAAGCATGTTTTCCAGCCCCGCGAGGCGTCTGCAGGAACATGAAAACCAATGGAACGCCAAGCATACGATAGGTTGTTGCAGGAGAGTTTAGTAAGACATGACACAATGGGTGGGCTTTGCAGGCTCCTGCGCAGTGTTTTTCCACGACCTGGAGTTCTTTCTCTGGAAGGCAGGCAGGCACATACGCAATGCACCCTGGCAAAAAAACGAGATCAAAACGAGATCAAAACGAGATCACCGATCGTCCGTTGAAGATTTTGGGCCCGCATGTGCCGAACCCGCGCCCACAAGTTCACTCACTTCTGCGCCCGCTCCCATCAACCCACTTCCGCACACACTTTTCAACTCAATTTCGCACCTGCGAACGCCAGCCGCTCAAGCGCGCCTGCTCAGCCCTGCGCACACACGCCAGCCAAATGGTAAGCACTCCCAGCACTGCAAACTGCATGCCCCCTAGCACCCGGCCGTCAAGCTCGCAAAAAAGCACCTCCACCAGCACCCCAAACTGCATGCCCCCCAGCACCCGGCCTGAATCTCGCAAATCACTTTCCCTTCTTTATTAGAAGCTAGAACCCCTATAGCTTTCAGCTATCTGCGGAGAAAAAACCGCTAAAAAGTAGCGGGGGGTTTTGGGGGGGGCGGCAGCCCCCTCCCATGATGTTGTTCGCAGAAGTGATGATTTGAATGGGGTGCAATTAAATCTCTGCAAAAAGTCTAAAAAGTAGCGGGGTGGTTGGGGGGGGCGGCAGCCCCCCCCATGATGTCGGAAGAAGTGATGATTCAAGTAGGGGTGCAATGATTCAAGAAAGGGTGCGATAGAATTTAAAAGGCAGCGGAATTTAAAAGGCAGCGGGAGGGGTTGGGGGCGTGGCTTCCCCTATGATGTTCGAAGAAGTACATACATACAGACATACATGGATTACACAGAATACCTAAAATGTCGTATTTTGCAACATTTTCTCGCGAAATTGGACGCTCGAAAAGTGATGATTGAACTAGGGGTGCAATTCAATCTCTGCAAGATAAATCCAAAAAGTAGCGGGGGGGGGGGGGCGGCAGCCCCCCCCAATTCAGTTATCCACAAACAGTAGCGGGTGGGTTGCGGGGGGGGCTTCCCCCCCTTATGATGTTTGAAGAAGTGATGATTCAAATAGGGAGGAACTGGTGATGCTGATGATGCGGGAAGCCACATCCGCAACAGCCAAAAAGCCCGGACAGGAACTGGGAAAGCAGAGGATGCAAAAAGCTAAGACCGCCAAAAGCCGCATAAAGCAGCGAAAAGCCGCAAAAGCCAAAATGCCACCTGCCAAAGAGGAACTGGGAATGCAGTGGATGCGAAAGGCAGAAGCTGAGAAGCCAAAAAGCCAAGAAGCCAAGAAGCCAAGAAGCCGAAAAGCCAAGAAGCCAAGAAGCCAAGAAGCCAAGAAGCCAAGAAGCCAAGAAGCCAAGAAGCCAGGAAGCCAGGAAGCCAAGAAGCCAAGAAGCCAGGAAGCCAAGAAGCCAAGAAGCCAAGAAGCCAAGAAGCCAAGAAGCCAAGAAGCCAAGAAGCCAAGAAGCCAAGAAGCCAAGAAGCCAAGAAGCCAAGAAGCCAAGAAGCCAAAAGCGAAAAAATAAATAAAAAACATCCTAAAATATATACCCCTCCAAAGCACAATATCTTTCTTGACCTCGAAGGGTCTGTGCAGCTCAAGTGCCCCGTGGAATTGGCTTCTGGGCCACCCGTACCTCAGGTAATACATTGCCCTTTGCACGAGTGTTTTGAAGCAAGGTTGCATCACCGGTTCCGAAGAGGGCTTCCACTTTCAAGGTGACATCCTCTTGCTCTGAGTTCAGTGGTTTCAGAATGGGTGCACCCTTTTTGACGGTCTTTGATACTTGTCCACTTGTGGTTGCTAGCCCTCCATCTGCCTTGATGTCCTAGAATTCACAGATATTATCACAAAGCAAAACCCACGACATGATGGCTCTCAACATGATCTGCGAGGAGACAGTTTGCATGCTTCTATTAAGCGTCAATGCGTAATTGTAGGCACTACGATTAAACTTATAGTTTAGCAAACACGTCTTACTCAAACGATTGTTTGCTGTGCTTTCAGAAACAAACACACCTAAACAGGCAGCTTCCTCTCCACTGCCACCGCTCAGTAGCTCAAACTTGGGCTTGATTGAAACTGGAACTGCGCGTTGCGCAATGTCAAAATCACATGTGCACAGTCTTGAAGCCCGCGCTGCAACGGCACATCAACAAGTCTATTCCCGCTACAAACGACTAGAAACACTTGGCACAATTACTCGAATCTTGCCCTTCAGGACTTCAGCCAGGCCAAACTAACAACCAGCGAGGATTGGAGACCTGACCGACACTTCCAACCCAAACTACTTCTTCGGATCTTGGTGGACATCTGTGCCAGCAGACTTTGCTTTCGCCGCCCCGAGCCAGCCTCGGTACTCGTAGCCTGAGGTTTTTCGTTCTGATCCATGCCGGTCGCGCTTGCTGGCACCTGACAGGCGGGCAGCGATCGCGCCACAGCATGCAGCTTGGGCATGTCGACTCGTTGACTTTTCGCCATGAGCTCCACAAGTTTGGCGGGACCCAGAGGAACCTGCAGCACTTCAAATTTCTGGCGAATGGATCAGCTGATTGTTCACAAGCTACCGTCATGAACAGCGCCTCCCAACAAAGATTGGATTTGGTTCTGCGCCTAGAATGCATCATACCTCAAGCCACACTGCGTAGGCATGAGGAGAAAGCCAACGAAGGCCCCCCGAGTCTGGCCCCGTCACCCTTTCCACCTGCTCCACCCCCGTTCACCCCCTCCATCCTCCACCCCTTGAAAGCCCCTTTCCACACACGCATGCTTGCTTCTGTTGCACCTTGTCAAAAAGAAGACCCAGGAAGTCGCTGACACCTGGGCCATCGCTCGGCTGTGAGGGACTAATTGAAGCACAGCAGTCAAGGGAAGCGCACTGGTAACGAGCCGAAGATGCAATATGATCGATCCAAACGTGTCAAGCAAGCTTAAACTTGTCAACGCTGCAAATGTCGCGGCGTGTCCCATCAAGTACCTGAAGTGAGTCATGTTGCTGCCATCGTTCAAGGATATCATCAACCAAGGCATAAACACAGCAAGGCCGGCCGAGGCGCTGATTTCGCGCGTGTCGCCAAGTTCCTCCGAGGCTTGTGAATCTTGAATCGTTTGGAGTTTCCGCCTTAGAACCTCCAGAAAACTGCAGCGCTTGTGGATTTCTGTCTGGAGCTAGATCATTTAGTAGCCGCGGTTTCCCAACTTTGACAGTGCGCTCGAAAAGACAACTTACCCCTGCAAAAGGCTAAACACATCCAATGGGGATGGTCTGGGAAATTGCAGGCTTCTTCTCATGCAATTCTACATTTTGCGGCTTCAAAAATCAATCCCGCGAAGCACGTTCGACAAGGCTCCTAGGATATTCTGGATGGTAGACAGAAAGTCTGGTGACAAACTCAGACCCACTGCCTACGTGGCTTCTTTAAACTCAAACAAAAAATAGGAGTCTGGCAAAAACAAAATTTGAAGCTCACTCGTGCCTGGCATCCGTCAACATAATGAAAACACAACAAACGATGACTAACGCCCAGCTATCAATCTAGAACAGCACAAGACTTGGGCTTCACTCATCGGAGGCAAAGCAACATATTCGCTCTGTGATCAACAAAAAGGTCCCTGCTGACTAGCCACTGCAAGGCTGCTTGCTTCTGAAGCCTACGGTATCGCCATCTAGATATCCGACACTATAGGCCAACAATAAGTTTATACCCGCAAGGGGTACCGCCGGCCTGAAATGCCAGCCAATCTAAATATCCGATGTAGAAACGGTTGGCTTCGGCCCGGCCAGCACCATTTCTTGAAACGTCCGGAAAAATGTCGGGCTCGCTCTGGAGCTTGGGGACTGGAGGGCTTCAGTTGAAGTCTCCGATGAAAACTCATCTTTCAACACTTCTTTCCAGGGCCGCGCTTATATCCAAATTGAACTCCCAGCCCAGCCCGGCCCGCACGTGTTTAAGTGTCGTCGCTGTAGAATCATGTGTAGTCGAGGGTTGTCCAATATTCCTTGCTCCAAAAATCGCCTTCCGCCTCGCCCTTCCGCGAACTTCCGCGAACTTCCGCGATGGAGGTAAAACCACACGTTCTGATACGTGTCTGAACATAAGTAAGTTTCCGTAAAGTAAAAGTAAAGCAAGCCAAAGAGCTAGTGCAGAAAGCAAGAAGTAGACTAGAAATGGAGCGAGGATGGGACGAAGAGCAGAACGAGCAAAAGGAAGGACAAGGACAAGCAAACGTAGGAAGCGGAGCAGCAGAACACCGGAGAAAGAAAAAGGAACGGGGGAACGTGGCAACAAGCGACAAGCTACGCTACGGAGACTAGCCACCCCCCGCGCACGGCGACAGCCACAGTTGCGGGGGATTCGTTTTGGTATCGTTTTGGGTATCGTTTTGAGCACTAGCACGCTGCTACAACTGCGGCGTCCCCGGACGAAAAGAGCAGCAGCACTGGGAAACAAACACAAGCGACATTTCACGCTAAAACAAGAGACGGATGGGCCAGCCCCGGC